AGGAACGGTCTCTAGTCAGTTCATCCACGACAGTCTAGGAATGCTTCCGCTTTTCTGTGTGACGGCTGGGTAGGGGCAGTGTATGAGCAGTGTGCTCGTCTAACAATTTCCGATGTTTGTATAGATTTAGCCAACTACTCCCTAGTGGAGACAGTCGGTATTAAAGGTTCATTCGGTTTTGCCTAATTTTAAGCATAACCTGTTATCCACTGGCAAAAATTTCGAAGCGACTTTGTCCTTATTTTTCCTGAAAAATCCCCTCTTTTCAGCATCTTATTTGAAGGCCCATTACCGTTAGCAAGATGTTTAAATAAATTCAGATTACATTACGCATTTTGGTAGTAGTTACTCAGTCTGTCGAAAATCCTCATACGTATTTGCTGGCATTGGAAATTTCCATCCCCTCATGCCAAATTTCAAGAAGGCGTAATTTCCGTCAAAATTGTATACGGAGGAATTTGTAGAAGGTCCTCTCTTAGAATTTTAACTGTGCTTGTGTAAGCATCACAAGTAGAGCATCCTTCCTGTGTATGAAGGATTTTCCGCAAAAACCCACGTGCTCTCATGCACGCAGCCAGTCGTGCTTCGAATCAGTATTCGGCCTAATAAAAGAGTTCAAATTCGAGTTGTTGTGGCAGCGGCTGCTGCATAACCAGCACAGATCATCCCATGGCGAAGATGTTGGCAATGTTAAATAAGCACTGGAGATGGTTGGCCTGGGTTATCGGTGGATACCTGTTCTAAAAATCAGCACTTTATTTGGGAGGGAGTATTAAGAGGAGACGGAACTTTGCAGACAGACGTTTGCATGTTAGCCTTTAGCCAGCTCTTTCTTGTGAACATGCAACTAATACAAACTATGCTGCGGAGTGTTGAAAGGCTCCATAGAGTTGAATTGACTGGCATTAACGTCAACCCCCACCGTGTTCCTATTATATCGAAGTGACCTGCACCAATCTATCGTGATTGTGGGATGGAAATGGGGCAATTTAATTCTACCTTGGAAGTAAGAGTCCACAGCTTGCGCAGGCTCTCGCGTTGCGAAGAGGACTCAGTCTTCGGGGAGTATTACCGTTCAATACGGGGATGTGGGAGTGGCCATTTCTGGCCTGTTTACCGCCGTTAGCAAGCAGTATTCTAAAGCCAGGGTCTGCGCCCGAAGCTTTGACCTAAACCACTTCTTCATCTAACATCACTCCTCCTAGGACTACTGGTCCACGTCATGCCGACTGAACTTGGGAATATTCACTTACACAGATACAGTGTTCTGTTTCAACCTGAACATTGCTTATTAGCGTTTAAAGTATAGGCTAGGTCAATATGATCACCATTTGCGGGGGTTTATCTCAATTCCTTCTGAGGCAAATGCAGTCATGCAGTCTCCCTGCCTTGTTTTAATCGAGTCCTACTAGTCTTTCGGAATATTGTTAATTAGAGCTCACCAGTTTCATGGTTGTTAGTAGAACTGGGGTCTAGCCTCGATCTTAGATATAAGTGCCGCGTCGTTATCCCAAGTGACATTTATTCACCAAAGTCGGGTGAAGCCGGCAGAGCGCTTATTTTCCAGCTCGATCGGCCACTTATGTTTGGCAACTTTTCGGTTCTAGTCCCGTAACACCTCTTCGTCACCGTTCATTTCGCAATTGGCCTAGTTACGTCACCCAACTCGCTTGAATTAGCCGCGGCGCCCCTTTCAGACCCCTGTACATGTGAACCGTGTGACATATCGCGTTCTTCATGCAAATTGTGTGAGTCACGACGCACCAGCGAACCTGGTCTGGTGCATTTTGGCCTTACTGGGTGGGTGACGGGAACTGACATTTTTGCATTGCGACACGGTATTTCACACGATATTTGCACTTTTCTTCTCCTCGGTCTCCAACAGGACAACAAAGTCTCTCTCTCTCTCTCTGCGGCTTTCATCACAGAGTTTGCAGCATTATCATGACTATTATCTCTTCCTATTTCTCTTGGGACAGCCCATGGGCATTCTTGCGCTTCTGGATGAGGAGTGCTTCTTCCCCAAAGCGACGGACAAATCTTTTGTGGAAAAGCTGTTTAAACAGCAGGAAAACAATGCCAAGTTGTGTAAACCCGAATTCCGCTCGGTTTCCGACTTTGGTGTCTACCATTATGCCGGCCGCGTGGACTATCAGGCTGCCCAGTGGCTTACCAAAAACATGGACCCCCTTAACGACAATGTAGTCTCGTTGCTTCAGGCCTCCAATGAGCCCCTGGTCCAGGTAGGTAGTACTTGGTGATATTGTGGCCCACTACTGCCAACACAGTTGTATGATTTTTTTCAGTGGGTCAAACTGGAGTGCATTCCAAAAATCGGTTTTCACTCTTTTCTTGCATGGGGAATATGTAATTTTGTCGCCTTTGTCTTACTCTTACTGATCAGCGTCGGAATTACCTCTCGAGTCTTGATGTCGGGCTTGCATATTTTAGCGTCGTGCAACAACCGAACATACGTAAAACCGGCCCTCAGTGAAGTCACGAGGTTACTCAACGCTTGTGTCCGCGTGGTCTGCGTTCATACACTGACGATTACTGACGTTACACAATCTAACCGATAATGTCCCCATCTTTTCAATTGTCCACTTTCTGGCATTTTAAAATCCGGGCTTATTCGTCTCTCCCTGTAGACAGTTATTTAAAACGGTAAATCGCTAACTTGTGGTGTACTGCAGAAGACTGTGAAATCGATGGACCAACATCCTTGTTTTCCAGGCTTGCTCCTAAATATACGCGTCCCATGTGTAAGACCACCGGAGCCGTTGATAACGGTTGCCCAATGAATCCCTTTTGAAATACCTGTTTTTAGAAAAAAAAGGTCACGGCGGATAGGGAAGTCAAAACCAGGGAGAGACCGCCCGATGATTGGGGCGGCAAATTTATTCGTCCATCCAAAGGTCCACAACTTATAATCACCTCCTCCTCCTCCTCCTCC